TATTTTAAGCAACATACTCATTTACCTCACCAGATGGAATACACAGCAATCGAACTGACTACAGCTGTGGGAAGAGATGGTGAAAAAGCTCAACATCAGTCCAAACAAGACCAGGGTCAGACTGTGGAACAGACCATCAATTGTTCATATGCAAATTCAGGTTGAAGCTGAAGGAAATTAAAACAAGTCCACAAGAGCCAAACTATGACCTTGAACATATCCCACCTGAATTTAGAGACCATCTCAAGAACAGATTTGATGTATTAGACACAAATAACTGAAGACCAGAGAGTTGTGGGATGACATCAAGAACATCATAAAGGAAGAAAGCAAAAGATGATTGAAAAGATAGGAAAAAAAAAAAAAAAAAAGACCAAAATGGATGTCAGAAGAGTCTCTGAAACTGCTGTCAGTTTGTCACACTGTGGTGGTGGCTTGTATGTTGCTTTGATGCTGGAAGCTATGCCACTGATATTTTGAGGTTGGCATAGGACCGGACAGTGTTTTGTTCTGTGGTGCATAGGGTTGCTGTAAGTCAATACTGGCTCAATGTCACCTAACAGCAACAACAACATGGGCAAACTATTTGAATGATGCAGAAAGCAGCAAAAAAAGATGGAAGGAATATACAGTCACTGTACCAAAAATAGTCAATGTTCAACAATTTCAAGAGGAGGTAGCGTATGATCAAGAGCTAATGGTACTTAAGGAAGAAGTCCAAGGTGCACTGAAGGCATTGGCAAAGAGCAAGGCTCTGGGAATTGATGGAATACAAATTGAAATCTTTCAACAAACTGATGCAGCACCTCACTCACTCATCTATGCCAAGAGACATGGAAGACAACTACGTGGCCAACCGACTGGAAGAAATCCATATTTGTGCCCATTCCAAAGAGAGGTGACCCAGTAAGATTTGGAAACCATAGGACAATATCACACAAAAGTAAAATTTTGTGAAAGATAATTAGAAAACAGCTGCAACAGTACATTGACAAGAAACTGCCAGAGGTTCAAGCCGGATTTAGATGAGGACATGCATGGAATGGGAGCTATCATTGCTGACGTCAGATGGATCTTGGCTGAAAGCAGAGAATACTAGAAAGTTGCTTACCTGTGCTTTATTGACTACACAAAGGCTTTTGATTCTGTGGATCATGAAAAGAATGAGTAATCTAGAACACTTAATGATCTAAAATCAGAAATGGTTTGGGCCAAGATTGTATATTTTCACCATACTTATTCAACCTGTATGCTGAACAAATAATCTGAGAAACTGGAGTATACAAAGAAGACTGTGGCATCAGGATTGGAGGAAGACTCATTAATAACCGCGATATGCAGATGACACAACCTTTCTTATGGGAAGTGAAGAAGACTTAAAATACTTACTGATGAAGATAAAAAACCACAGTCTTCAGTATGGTTTGCATCTCAATGTAAAAAAACAACAACACAAAAACCTTTTACAATGTGACAAATAAATAACATCATGATAGATGGAAAAAAGATTGAAGTTGTCAAAGACTTCATGTTGCTCAGATCTGCAATCAACACTCACGGAAGCAGTCATCAAGAAATCAAATGACATATTGCATTAGGCAAATCTGCTGCACAAGACCTCTTTAAAGTGTTCAAGAACAAAGATATCAGTTTGAAAACTCAGGTGTTTCTAACCCAAGCCATAGTATTTTCTTTAGCCTCTTATATATATATGAAAGTTGGACAATGAATAAGGAAGACCTAAGAAGAATTGATGTATTTGAATTATGGTGTTGGAAAAAGAATATTAAAAGTACCATGGACTGCCAGACTATCTAACAAATTTGTGTTTAAAGAAGTACAACCAGAATGCTCCTTAGAAGCTAGGATGGCAAGAAGTTGTCTCTCATACTTCGGATTTATTATCAACAGTAATCAGTTCCTGGAGGAAGACATCATGTTTGGTAAAGTGGAATGTCAGCAAAAAAGAGGAAGACCCTCTCCCCAATCAAATGGATTGGCAGAGTGGTAGCAGCCATGGACTTAAACATAACAGCTATTGTGAAGATGGTGTAGGACCTGGCGGTGTTTCTTTCTGTTGTGCATAGGATCACTATGAGTTAGAGACGACTTGATAGCACCTAACAGTGACAGCAATCAGCATGGGTGAAAACTCCACAAGGATGTGAGTATCTCCAGGTGAGAGAAGAAGTGCAGCCAGAGTGCTCCTTGGAGGCCAGGATGGCTAAGCTTCGTCTCTCATACTTTGGACATACTGTTCGGAGGAAACAATCGTTGGAGAAGGATGTCATGCTGGGTAAGGTGAAGGGTCAGAGAAAAAGAGGAAGACCCCCAACGAGATGGATCAGCCAGGTGGCATCATTGATGGACTCAAGTGTGGCAGCGGTAATGAGGTTGGCCCAGGATCGGACATTGTTTCGTTCTGCTGTGCGTGGGGTCGCTATGAGTCGGTTCCGACTCGATGGCACCTGACAACAACAACAACATCGTAAAGGCAGTTCCCAGTGTCACTTCCAGAGGTCCAAAATAATTCTTCCTGATCCTTAATTTCCCTTTCTAAAGGTTTATGAAGCAGATTTTGTTTTCCTCCAGTGTTTTGAAAATGTCATTCATCTGAGTCCATTTTCACTATTGTTCTAGGCATTTGGTGATCGCTTCCCATCAGCAAATTCATGTTCTTCAGTGTTGGGAAATTTTCTTGCACTCTTTTGTTTACAATTTCTTTCCCTCTCTTTTCTTTTTAAAATCTTTTTCTATATTCCTGTCATTCATATTTTTGTTATAGTATGTTGTTTTTGTGTGTGCCGTTAAGTTGATTCAGACTCAGCAATCCCATGTGACAGAGTAGAGCTATTCCCTTAGGGTTTTTCAGGATTCCTGGTGTGGCAATGTAGGAGAAGCACTGGGCTTCAAACTAAAAGGTCAGTAGTTCAAACCCCCCAGCTATTCTTCATAAACACTATACAGGGTCTCTATGAATCAAGTGCTGAGACTTCGAACCATGACTTTTTTAGTTAGCAGGCAAGCACTTGAACATCGTGTTCTACTTGTTGCTAAGTGTCGTTGAGTCGGTTCTGACTTACAGTGACTCTGTATAGGGTTTCAACCCTGTGTAGTGTTTCAACCCGGTATAGGATTTCTGAGACTGTAAATCTTGGTAGGAGCAGAAATCTTCATCGTTCTCAGAGCAGCTGGAAGCTCAAACAACCAACCTTGTGTTTTGCAGTTCAGTGTTTATCCTACAGAGCCAGCACACTCCCAAGGCTCCACTGTTGTTGTTAAGGTGCCACCAAGTCGGTGCTGATTCATAGTGAGCCTGTCTAGTTTAGGGTTTCTGACGAATGGCTGCTAAGTTTGAACCACCAACTTCACGGTCCAGTGCGTACTCTACAGCACCACATCAGGACTCCACTAGTCCTGTCATTTTCTTATCTAGTCTCTACTATTGTTTGTTTCTGTTTTGTTCCATTTTCTTAGATGGTTTCTTTAATCTTTTAAACGTTGTATCGATCTTCCCTTTCTCTCTATCATATTTTTTTTATTTCCAAAGTTCTAGCTTTTTCTCTGAATGCTCTTTTTCCTTCTTGTATTTTTTGATTAGTTAATTGGTTCTTTTTTTAAAATAAAAAAACCTTTCTCTCTCGTATTTGAGGTTTTCCTAAGTAATCCTTGCATGTACAGATATTGTAAGTGATGGTGGAGGTCGTGTGCCTTCAAGTTGATCTGACTCATAGCGACCCTGCATAGGGTTTCTAAGGCTGTAAATCTTTACGGGAGCAGAAAGCCTCATCTTTCTCCCATGGAGCAACTGGTAGATTCAAACTGCTGACCTTATGGTTAGCAGCCCAGCTCGTAACCACTACGCTACCAGAGCTCCTTAATTGGGACTAAAATGCACTCCCAACCCCATTTTGGAGTCCTCTTGTGATGTTGCAGGATTGGCACTGGACTGTTAACCACAAGATTGGTGGTCTACACCTTGGAAACCCTAATCAGGGTCTCTATAAACCAGAACTTTCTCAACAGCACTTACACCACCACCACAATGCTAACTGGGAACTCAGAGAACATAAGTGGGACTTTTCAACTCGGGTTTCTCGCCTGAGCCACTTGTTTGTTATAAGGGGGAAAATGGAATGAAACGATAATGGAATTTTCCACACACTTTTCGAAGACATCTCATAGAAACTTCGAAGTCAGGAGCTTTCCTCCTGAGCTGATCAGATTTCCCAGAATGAGGGAGTGGCCTAGCTGGCTGCCAGCTTCTCAGAGTTGAGTAGGGGAAAAGGATGGAAGCTGTGAGCTTGAACCACCGACCTTGCACTTCAAATGAGTTTGCAGTCTGGCACATTAACCCACAGCACCACTCTAGGACTCCATTGTGTCAGTAGAATGTCCCTATTTTCTGCATGCTGCCCCCACCCTCAGTTGGATCAGGGACTCTCCATTTTACTCTCTCCAAGAATTAGCCTCCAAGCTCTGCTGGGGTCAAGGGACGGGAAATAGGGGGTTGACTGGATTCTTAAACATTTCCAGAACTCTGAACCTTTGGCTAATTCAGTTAGTTCCTGGATTTCCAATGACAGCATAGACACCAGCTTACTAGAGACTTCTTCTACCTGCCATCTGTTTTTCCAGCTTCTAAAATGCAGATGTGCTACCTCCTCTCCCATCTTCCCCATCGGGGGGACTCTTGTCTTTAAAAAAAATTCCTCTTCCACCTTACAGGATGGTTCACAAGGACCACCAGCAGCTGTAAACCCCATCTCTCCTTAGAAGGCCTCATCACAGTCTTCTGTGGGCAGGTCTTGGGGTCACCCACCGACAAGGGAAGCAGGGGCCAGGATTTACCCCCAGGATTGTCTGTCAGTTAGGTCCAGCCTTCTGGCTCCCGGAACTCTGGACAGGCAGACATCACGGACCAAATCCCAGAATCCCAGGGTCAGGGGACAGGGGGCAGGGCCAGGTGGTTGAACAAACAGACCAAAGGTGAGAACGACATGGGTTGTGTAGATCAGCCGTTGGGCCAGCTGGGCCGACACGCCATGAGGTGGGTAGGAGCCTCTCACAGCTTCCTGGCCAGGCTGAGAGATGATCACAGGCCTGGACCCTCACCCCCTTCCCCTGCTCTCAGGCTACTTGTCTTCCTGGGCCTGCTGTGTGGCATGGTGACAGCTCCCCTAGCCCCACGGTGGCCTGAGCCTGTGTTTGGGCGCCTGGCATCTCCTGGCTTCCCAGGTGAGTATGCCAACGACCAGGAGAAACGCTGGACCCTGACTGCACCTCCTGGTTACCGCCTGCGCCTCTACTTCACCCACTTCGACTTGGAGCTCTCCTATGGCTGCGAGTACGACTATGTTAAGGTGCCACCTGGCAGGGACGGCCTGGGGCCCCTCAGGGTGGGGGGACAGGGACACCTGGGAGCAGGGTCTGGCCTCAGCCAGAAGGAGAACAGACCTTGCTTGGGTCTTGCCTGGCTTTCCTGTGACCCTGAACTCCACAGCTGAGCTCGGGGCCCAAGGTGCTGACCACGCTGTGCGGCTGGGAGACCACAGACACAGAGCAGGCACCGGGCAACACTACTTTCTACTCACTGCCGGGTGCCAGACTAGAGGTCACCTTCCACTCTGACTACTCCAATGAGAAGTTGTTCACGGGCTTTGAGGCCTTCTACGCAGCAGAGGGTGAGTTCAGGAGCTTGGGGAACCCTAAGATGTCCATCTGCAGCTGAGATCACTCTCTGGGCCAGGCTAGACTTCCTTTCAGTCTTCCCACCTCCCCTTGGAAGAGCCCTGTACAGTGCTGGTCATCTGCTATATAGACAATAAGGGCCACTACCTCCACGCACAGGCACCGAGCTCCCATTCTGTGTCAGGATCAGAGTCAGGGACCCCATCTTCACAAAGCTACTCTACGATGTAGAGACATAAAGCTGCTGAGGATGCACAGGAGGCCAGTTGGGTGATCTTGACCGTGTCACGGCCTCTCTGTTCTCCTCACAATATTAAATGGAACTTAGTGTAGTAGCTTAGGTCTCTGTGTAGTGTAAGCTGCTTGTGTTTAACTACTAATCAAAAGACTGGCCATTTGAACCCACCTAGCACCTAGCACCTAGGACTCCTGGTGTGGTACTGCAGCACTGGACTGTGAACCACAAGGTCAACAGTTCAAACCCACCAGCTGCTCTGGTGAGTCAGAACCAACTCAAGTGCACTTAAAACTAACAACAAAGTATCTTAGAGTTCTGGTGTGGCACTGTAGGTAAACACTGGACTGCTAATCTCAAGGTTGGCGGTTCAAACTCAACAGCCAACCGCTTCTCAGAAACCCTACGCAGGGCTGCTCTGAGTTGGAACTGCTTTGA